AATGTTATGTACTGTGAAACCTTATAAAAGTCAGCTCCACAATTTGTTTTCCAAGTCAAGTTGAAATTTGGAACTCATTTATGCAAAATACAGCAGGTTAAAAATTGTAATGGTTAATAGTTAACTATTGTTATGGTGATATACTATATCCTTTGTTTCTTTGTTTTTTCTATTTTGTCTATTTCTTCATTTTATTTAAACCACTTTTGTATGTGTTGCTAAATAAATAAATAAATAAATAAATAAATAACTAAATAAGTTCCTTCCTCTGCCAATCTTCTCATAAGTTTTCAGTGGCAAAAAATCATGGGCACAGCTGATTTCTACAGAAGGAAACTCCAAACATGGTATTTGTTCCACTTTAATCAGTGTTGTGAGCTTTAAGGTATGGCAAGGTACGTGAGATCAACGTTTCAAAACCCTATTCTGAAGTGCCAAGCAGATTTGTCCTTAGACTACAGCACAGTTGTGGAACAGAGACATGCTGGTGTGGTTGGAGGGGCTGGCTGAAGATCTCACTGTTCCAGGTGCCCACAAAAAACCCCTAGCTCAGGTGGCTTTTAAAAAGGAATGGACAACTTCACAGTGATTAGGTCTATCTGGAACAGAGGTGATGAGCCTCAGCCCCCGGGGTCCAAATCCAGCCCTGCAGGTCTTTTCACCTGGGAATCTCTATTTTGGCAACCACCCCAGGCCACATACCCTGCCCAGCCACAACCTCGCTTCCCAGGACACACCCATCAGTAGGTCTTGCTTCACATTTTCCTTGTCTGTTTCTGCCTGGCTGGACGGTGTCTCTGAACTCTGATAATGACTCTTGCTTGCCTGGTTAGAGGATTAAGGTGTGGGGATGTGGGTGGGTGTGTAGAGCAGGCTTCCTCAAACTCGGCCCGCCAGATGTTTTGAGACTACAATTCCCATCATCCCTGACCACTGGTCCTGCTAGCTAGGGATCATGGGAGTTGTAGGCCAAAAACATCTGGAGGGCCGAGGTTGAGGAAGCCTAGTGTGGATAGTACCCTAATATACAAAGGTAAAATTTACATTCATTGCTCTGTCGTTTGCCTCGGGTCCTGCCCACCACCAACATGTGGCTTCTGGAAGCTTGACCAGAAAGGAATGTGGTGTTCAGGCTGTTAAAGGTCCAACCCCAGCCCTGGATCCAAAACCACCCAAGTCTAGAAGTAATTTATCTCTGACTATCAGATGAACCAGGGGCAGTTGCTGCCTTCGTGTCTGGTTTGTGAGCTACGCAGTCATTTGGTTGGCATCTATGGCAAACAGGATGCTGAACTACAGTAGATGAGCCCTTGATTCGATCCACCAGGACTCTTTCATGTCAGAGATGGAGAACCATGATGCCCTCCAGATGGTCTTAGACTCCAACTTCCTTCAACTCCAATGGTTGGGGAGGATGGGAGTTGTAGTCTAACAACATCTGAAAGATCACAGTTTGCCCATCCATGGTTTATGCTCTTCAATCTACAGTTGGCCCTGAAAGTTATGGTTGGGGACAGGTTAATTTGGAGCATGTTTTCCTCCCTAGGTTGTCCTCTTCTGTTACCTGACATAGTGCACATGTGGTCATGATTCACCGTTATGGGTCCAGATTGGGGCTCCAAATGGAGAGGCAAAAGCATGACCTCCGTGTAGGGGCAGGGGATAAATTCAATTCAGTACATGTTTAAAAGTGAATCTATCCAATTCACACTGAGAACTGAAATGCAGCCATCCTTCAAAATTTGCACTTGTCCAAATCTTGTGATACAGTTCTCTTACCAAACAGCATTTACAAAATGCACATAATTGGGTCAAAGAGTGGATATTGGGGAAAACGACATTAAAAATGTATTTTATTCACCAAAACCACATACAAAATGTGTTTCTCACAAATTGCTGCAGAAATATGGAGGACTGAATTTAAAATTGGAAAAAATATGAAACAGAGAGAACCAAAAGTGAACAGATTCTTTCATCCCTGGGTGGAAAAAGGGAAATGCACTATCCTCATCCTTTATTCTATTATTCTTCCATCTCTCTATCTCTCTCTTTTTCTCCTGCAGAGCAGAGCAAATGGAAGACAGAGCCCCACCAGGGGTCAGTGCAATGACAGCAAGGGAGGGTAGGCAGAGAAAAGAAATAATCTCCACCTTTCTAAGCCATTCTTGGATTTTGAGCATCTAGAATTGATCTGTCCAGGTGGAAAAAAAAATGGACAGGTGACATTTCTAAGACCCAATCTTAATAGAGTTTAACATTTGTATAGCACTTTCCAATGTTCAATGATTTTCAGGTGCTTTATCTAGTTCTAATCCGTATAACAACTCTGCGAAATCAGTCAGCAATGTTATCCTCCCCACATGGCCCATATTACAGATGGGGAGGCCGAGACTGGCTTGCCCAAGGCCACCAAATGAGTTCATGGCAGGGGCAAGATTCAAAAGGTGGATTTCTTGGTTCATAGGTCACAGTGCTACACACCTATGGGGGGGGAGCCCAACTGAGTTCAAGGGAACATGCCCTGGTAAGGCCCCTTCTGCACTATGGCAGAATCTTGCCACGAATTGGTGGGTCAATTACAGTGGTGCCCCGCAAGACGAACGCCTCGCAAGACGGAAAACCCGCTAGACGAAAGGGTTTTCCGTTTTGGAGGCGCTTCGCAAAACGAATTTCCATATGGGCTTCCTTCGCAAGACGAAAGCCCATAGGGAAATCTCCGGGAAAGCGGGGAAGCGCAGCGCGTCTTCCCCACTGTCCTCGGACCTCCTCCGAAGGCTGGCGGCAGGGCGGAGAGACCTCCTCCCGCCGCCAGCCTTCATTTCTCTGCTATCCCAGACGGTTTTTGAAGGCAGGGGGGGAGCAAAGACTTTCGCCCCCCGCCGGCCTTCAGAAGAGGTCCGCTGTCCGGGGTGATCTTAAAATGCTGGCGGGCGGGAGCGAAGCCTCCGCTGTCGCCCGCCAGCATTTTAAAAAGCCCCGGGACAGCGGGGGACTTCTCCGCTGTCTGGGGCGATCTTAAAATGCTGGCGGGCGGGAGCGAAGCCTCCGCTGCCGCCCGCCAGCATTTTTAAAAGCCGCGGGACAGCGGGGGACTTCTCCGCTGTCCGGGGCGATCTTAAAATGCTGGCGGGCGGGAGCGAAGCCTCCGCTGCCGCCCGCCAGCATTTTTAAAAGCCGCGGGACAGCGGGGGACTTCTCCGCTGTCTGGGGCGATCTTAAAATGCTGGCGGGCGGGTAAAAGGGTTTGTTCCTAATGCAATATGCGGAGCTGAACAAGAGTGAATAATGCAGGAAGCACACACCCTGCTGGCCTGCTTTTCCCGTGAAAAACCACATGTTTACAGCAGCCCGACCGATTCCTTTGAGCTGACAAAAGTGGGGACTACTTCCCTTGTGATGCTGTCCTCCACATATATCAGGCCAACCTAGGCTTCCCACAACACACATGCATCAGCCAACATATGCATGCATCAGTGTCCAAAAATGTTTTCCCACACAGAACATCTTTGCAGGTGAAAATAGTTCACAGCCTTACCTTCTGTTGCACTGGTATAAAAATCCACTACACTGAGCCAAATGGCGAAACAAAGATACAGCGTTATCACTGGGAAAGAGCAGAATTGTGTCAGCCTGCTCATTGCCTAAGTGCACCCACATGCTACCCCACAGAATACTGCTTGCAATCCTGCCTATATAGAAGTTTCTGGCCAAATTTCCATGAACTTTTAACGGAAGCAGCTTGGAACCCAAAATATTTTCCCACATTTCTCTGGCAGTATAAAACGGCCCCTCTGATTTGACATATGTTTATCCATAACTCCCACCAATCCAAATACAGGATATAGATGCCCCTCTTTTCCTAATTCATTTATGCACGTAGCTTTCTCCTTTTCCCATACTCAATTACTCGTTTTAGCCAAACTTGCCTGACTCATCCAACACACTGAACTTGAACAAGCTGTTTGAAAGTCCTATTGTTTTCAGTTACAGTTCTAAAGGTCAAGGTGTCAATGTCAGTTTGTAAGGCTATGTGCCTAGGCGTATTTTCTTAGCGTAAGCTCCGCTGAAGTTAGTTGAGTCAACTTTAAAGATGTTCAGGTATTGCAGCAATTCAGGTAATAACAGTGCAATCCTATACACATTTACTCAGGAGTAAGTCACAATGAGTTCAGAGGGGCTTGCTTGTACATTCTGGGTGCAATCCTGTACATTGCTACAGGATTGCACCCAAAATATGCTGCATATAGTTCATACAGTGTACTCTTATGTAAATTTACTCAGAAGTAAACCCCACCGTGTCCCATGGGGCTTGCTCTCTGGAAAGTCTACATACTATGGCAGCCCAAATCACCTTCTATTGTCACATTTTCCTTTCTTAGAGCAGGATAAAACTTTTCTTTTAATGTAACCACAACACTTCCTGTACACATCATCAGAGATCACTATCTTTAAAACGAACAGCCACGTTACAAAAATACTACAACCAGGCAGTTGCCTTTTGCACAAAGCATGTTTCAAAAAGCTGAGTAATATAATAGTGAGTGGCTAAGTTTCTTTTGGAAGGCTTCCACTTTGAAGATTTTACGCTAACACTGAGAAGAAGCAAACAGCAATGTGCCTTGAGGTTTTTTACAATCTCACCTAAAACCTCCATATGTAATTCTGCAAAAAAGAAAGGGGGGGGGAGAACTCCTCCTGAGCTCCTGGGATCTCCAGCTGCTCAGAACTCAAACAAGTTGTTTCTGAATTGCTCTGCAAAAGTTTGGGCTCTGAAAACCCGGCTTACCATTAGCGCAGAAATCACAAAAAGGAAACCACAGGTAGTAAATAATAACAATAATCCAAACTTGCTTGCTGTTTTCAGGCCTGCTGCTACAGTGTATCTCCTGGTCGGATTTCCTTTCAGCAAAGCGACGGAGCAGTTAAACGATTCGCTGGTAAGGATCAGAGTGTGCGAACGCGTTTCAGAAAATAATACCCGGACACGACCTGAAACTTACCAGGGCGCGAAGTTTTCCTTTCCCGTGGATTTGGTGCCTGCTTACAGAGTCCGATGCTTGTTTCGCCTTCCCAAAAGATTCTCACCCGCCGCAGTCAACTCCTCATAAGCAAAGGAAAACCCCAAAGCAATCTAGCAATCCTTGGAAACATTGAAGAGCATGAAGGAAAGGGGAGGAGGACAAAGGAGTCCGGAAAAGTGGCGTTCCTCCCTCGCCAGCAGCGAAAGTCGGCTTGCTGTGCGCTCGGCACCACCCTCCAGCTCTGAGCTCACAGAAGCTGCTCTCTGGAAAGGTTGATTGGAGAGGAAAGGCGTTCCCCGTGACCGTCCGCACGGACGTACAGGATGTAACCCGGGCAGATCAGGCTGGCGACTCAGTCGCACACAGCGCTGGCTGCTAAGGCGAACTTGCTGCAACTTTACGCGCGTGTCTCTGTGTTTCTGTATTGACATTCGGTGAAAAGAATTGGCTATGTTGTGTTGCTGTGTCGAGTTTTTAAAGGATCCATTTTAGTGCCCAAAGTGGGAATATTATCTGTTCAGCTGGAGGCTATTGGTCTGTTTTGACTGCTGTTCTGTGATACTTGGGTCTTTACCTGCTGCAGGCTGCCCTGAGAATTCTCTACTAACTAAGGAGATTAGAAAAACACCCTCCCCCAATTGAAATAAACCTGCAATCCTGCCCATTAAGCTGGGAGTAAGTTTCATTGAACTCAACAGGGCTTACTTCTGAGTAGGCTGTATATAGGCTTGCACTGTGAATATATACTTATTTAAGGATTTTTAAGTTGCATCCTCTGCCAGAAAACAGCAGCCAAAGAGGAATAAAAAGGAACGTCAACATGTGACTACAGATTAACTAGGTTTAGGTCCCAAACCTGTTTTCATTGAGAGGATCATAGACTAATTGAACTGTAGAGATGGAAGGGACCCTGAGGGTCATCTAGTCCAGTGTTCCCCAACCTTGGGCCTCCAGCTGTTTTTGGACTACAACTCCCATCATCCCTCGCTAGCAAGACCAGTGGTCAAGGATGATGGGAATTGTAGTCCAAAAACAGCTGGAGCCCCAAGGTTGGGGAACACTGACGAGTCCACCCCCCGCAATACAGGAATCTAAGCTAAAGCATCTATGACAGATGATCATCCAACAAAGGGGAGTCCACAACCTTCCAAGGGAGACTGTACCACTGTCAAACAACTCTGTCAGAGTCAGGTACAGTGATGCAGATAGGTACTTTTAGATAATGGTAAGGGCTCCCTTACTTCAAAAAGTGGTGTGTTGCATTTGGGGACTGTTGTGCTCATTCTGCCGAGTACTGATAACCCTGCCCTGGTAACACCTCGTTAGCAATGGGGTGTGTGAAGTAATAATACATAGCCATCCTGTGGTGCAGCAATAAAACTGCTAGCACATTTGCAAAGCTAAGCAGGGTCCGGTATGGTTTCAAATTGGATGGGTGACCACATGTTGAAATTCCTTCTTTGCAGGGGCTTAGACTAGACCAGGGGTCTGCAACCCGCGGCTCCGGAGCCGCATGTGGCTCTTTTACACCTTTGCCGCGGCTCCGGGGCGGATACTAGCGAGGGGAAGAGGCGCATTGTGCACCCTGACACTCCCCACTGTGGCGGGTGCTGTACTGTCGCATGGGGGCGGTGCGTGCGTTAGTCACGCACCCGTCCCAACATCACCTTCCCGCCCGCCCGCTACATAGTAAGGGGCATGTACGCTGGTCACTGCATTGAAAGGGGACATGTAAGCTGGTCAGTGTTTTGAAGGGGAGTGAAGAACACACACACACACAAAAAGGGAACTTGTTAATTTAATGTTTATTTCTATGAGGAGGAGTAATTCTGAGGAGTCAAACAAAGAAATAATAAAAAAGTGACAAAAAAGTTATTTTTATAATGACGACTTTTGCGGCTCCCAGTTTTTTCCCCCTTCGGAAACGGGTCCAAGTGGCTCTTTTTGTCTTAAAGGTTGCAGACCCCTGGACTAGACGAGCCTCAGGATTCCTTCCAGCTCTATGATTCTAGTTAAGACATCGGCAGAAAGGAAATATAAAGTTGAACTAATTCACAACTTCCAGTATGGTCACCCATGTTCTTTGATATGAATGACCAATCCCCGGTGCAGCATTTGGTGGGGCCTTTTGGAAAGCTGTGGCTGAAAGGCTGAAGGAAGAGGGTACCCCTCCCGCCTCAAAATTAAGGATGGGTGGGAGTCAGACCTCCCCCCTTAGTTTTGTCTGATTGGCACTGCAGGATAACAGTAACAACCACTGACTTTGTATGAGTAGCTGTAATAAAAGTCAGTAATCAGTAGTTCGGACGCAAAGTTCAAAACTGTTGTCCAAAAGTAGCTAAATAATATGGAAGTAAAATGTAGATGTCCCTGGTAGGGAGAGAGAGAGAATGTTTCTGCTCCCTCAACAACAACAACAACAATTTATTATTTATACCCCGCCCATCCGGCTGGGCTTCCCCAGCCACTCTGGGCGGCTTCCAACAAAATATTAAAATACAGTAATGCATCAAACATTGAAAGATTCCCTAAACAGGGCTCCCATCAGATGTCTTCTAAAAGTCTGGTAGTTGTTGTTCTCTTTGACATCTGCTGGGAGGACGTTCCACAGGGTGGGCGCCACTACCAAGAAGGCCCTCTGCCTGGTTCCCTGTAACTTGGCTTCTCGCAGCAAGGGAACCGCCAGAAGGCCCTCGGCTTTGGACCTCAGTGTCCAGGTAGAACAATGGGGGTGGAGACGCTCCTTCAGGTATACTGGACCGAGGCCGTTTAGGGCTTTAAAGGTCAGCACCAACACTTTGAATTGTGCTCTGAAACGTACTCTAGAAGCACAATACAGTACTTATGTGTAACTGTAATGTTTATTTCTTCCTGAAGAGGTAACTTGCATTGCCATCTATAGGTGATTTGGCAAGCTTACCAACACGGATGGCAAATAAAAACAACTCAGCCCCTGATGAACCGAAGAAGCAAATAAATTAGGCCACTTACTGAATGTTGGATCATAAATTTCCATGCACTAAGCCCACCCCCACCCCAATTGTCCAATTTATGCACAAGCTACATAAGCTTTCTAGGTATCATCCTCCTTCTTTATACAGACTAGTGTTGTGCTGGAATAATAATTAATAAAAACAATAACCATTATTGTGTGTGACACATTATGTCCAGAATTATATAAATCTGAGATTATTGGTCCTGTTGATCCCAGGCTTGTCTACTCTGACTGGAAGCCCTGCTCCAAGGTCTAAGGCAAAAGTCCTACCCAGTCCTGCTACCTTGGATGGTTTTAATTGGATATACTAGGGACTGCTTTTAAAATTTCCTACATGCATGGTCGGCGGTTCAAATCCCCGCAGTGGGGTGCGCTCCTGCTGCTCAGTCCCAGCGCCTGCCAACCTAACAGTTCGAAAGCACAATTAAGTGCAAGTAGATAAATAGGGACCGCTTACTAGTGGGAAGGTAAACGGCGTTTCTGTGTGTGCTGTGCTGGCTCGCCAGAGCAGCTTTGTCACACTGGCCACGTGACCCGGAAGTGTCTCCGGACAGTGCTGGCCCCCGGCCTCTAGGGGACTGCACTTAAAACTTCTTACATGCAAAGCAGTACCACCATGCTGTGATCCTTCCCCATAAAAGCTGGCTGAGGATACGGATGCAGAATAGACCCAGCACTGAAATAATTACGAATCCACATTTGGCTTGAAGTAAACCAAGCACAAGGAGTTCTATCACAGCATTTATTGCTATAAAAACCAAATTAACCTGTATGCACGGCTAATGGGAAAACAAGCACGTTCGCCCTCTTTCAAATTCTGCTTGGAGATTGTCTGCCGTATATCACAAGAACTATATTTGGTAACAATGAAATATTGTTTCTTTACTTCTGAATATTTAAGGGTTATAATCCTTTCCCACAATGTAACATCCTTATAAAAGAAATGTTTTTAAAATGTTCTCATACTTCTAAATTGTTTGCACTGACAGAGCGATCTGCTTAGCGCTACGCTGAATTCTTCCCTAGATAATTGAAATATTTGTCACTGGTAAGTGTAGCTATTTTTTAAAGCAACAGCAACCATTATTGAAGGGATCCTGTCTAATGCAGATTACGAACACAACTTTAATGAGAAATGCCTATACCTCCTTGTGCATTTCCTCATGCCTAACAATGAAACAATGAAGTGGTAGGGATGGATGAATCGTTCTATTTCTGGTCCGTGACAATGATGCGTGCTTCATTGATAAATCCACTCTGCCCCATTTTTTTGGCATTAATCTGCTTTTTAAAATTCACATGCAAATTACACATTTGAACACACACAGCATGCATTTCTAAACATATTTAATTCCATGGCACACGTTTTTGGCACATTTTTCAAGCCAAATAACAACGTTGCAAAATTCAGAGAAGTGCAAAATCGAAAGGATGGTTATATACATTCGTCTGAGAGGCAGGGGTCAGGGATCAGTTCACAGAGGAATTCACAGAAATAGGAGCCCTTATGCACACTTCGTATTAAATAATCTGAATGTGAACTCCTATGATGGGTTTGCGACACCCTGTCCTGTTGTCATGCTATTAGTTCACAAGCCTGGTTCCCCCACTCCTGTGAACTGTTGAAGCTTTAGATGTCCCAGAAAGATGGGGCAAAAATAACTTTTATAACCACTTGCATAATACGGTATCACACGACAATCAAGCAACAGCCAAATCAGCATGCAAATACGGTTATACAAGTAGGACTCGAAACAAGAGGCTCCAGTTCCATGTTTTAGTCAGTTGGCCATGTCCTCCATTGACTCCACTCCTCTTTCCTCCTGGCCTTTTTGTCATCCTTCTGCAAGACTCAGCCAGCATCGCGTGACCCCACTGAGCAAGTTCGGTCCACGTTTGCATGTTTTGGGAAGTTCCCTCCAAATGGTTGCTTTCTCTAAAGATTTCCACTTGTGTATTTCTGCAAATTTCGGTGTTTCCCTCAGCCTACTGATACCTCCCTCTTGCTTACAGATGGGTTCCATCTTGGCTACATAAGAAATGGCACTCAGTTGTGAATATCGGAAATGGAGGGGATGATATGGAAACAGATTCCTTTTTACTTGTAAAAAAAAAATGTGGAACGGCTTGAAACCATGCAATTATATCAGGTGGATGAATGGGTTTTTGTCATGGGTCACCATTTTGTATGGTATCAGTTTGTTTGCTTTAATGTACTTGCTGGTTTTTGTTTTTTACTGTTTTGCTGGGTTTTTTGTACATCACCTTGAGACAGTTGTATAGAAGGTGATGAACAAATTAATAAGAAGAACAATAAAT